ACTTAAACGATGTAAGACCGTTCCATAGCTATGAATACTGACATTTTTATCAACATGGATTCCCATATACCAACCATTGTTGTAGTTAATATATATATATATATATATATATATATATATATATATATATATATATATACCCCAATTTCTTAACCAAATGGCTTGGACAGTAACTGCATAACATGCCACAACTTTTAGCTTGCATTTAGAAGGTGCTACTAAAGTCTGTTTAACACTTTCTAAGAGATAGCACCACTGGCCAACAAGAAAATATAATCTAAAGTTGATTTCAAATCGTCTAGAGATCCAACAAAATCAAAATCGAAGAAGCTACCACCTTAAGATGATCTGAACAAAGGAAAATAAGTATGTAACCTTCAGTTCTCTTTAGCTATCTCATAACTTTCTTAGATTATTCCAATGCTCTTGTCCTAGACTCAACTAAAACCTACTAAAAACATTGACTACGTAACCTATATCTGGTCTAGTGCAAATTTGAGCATATATCAAGCTTTTCACAACACTAGTATATAGAATGATCTTCATAGATCCCATTTTTGGTTCATTCCTTGGACATTAAGATTTGTTAAACTTATCCCTTTTTTATGATAGACACATACTAGGTAGACAGTTCTACATATCAAACCTTTCTAGGACGTCGTGTATAAGCTTTCTAGGTAAATCTTAATAACACATGACTCTTACCATGATGTACTTCATTTTCAAGCACAAAAGAAGCTTCTCCAAGATCTTTCATCTCAAAATTAGCAAATAACATTTTCTTGATCTCATGAAGTAATCCTAAGTCACTGCTAGCAAACAAAATGTTAACAACATACAAGATAAGAAAAATAAAATTTCTTCCACTAATCTTGAGATAAGTACATTGATCAACTGTATTTTCAATAAAGTTGAGAGAGGTTAAAATCTCATCAAACCTCAAATACCATTATCGAGATGATTACTTGAGGCCCGATAAAGGTTTGTTCAACTTACGTACCAAGTTTTCTTTTTCCTTCACCACAAAACCTTCAGATTGTCTAATGTAAACCTCTTAAGAAAGATCTCCATTCAAAAGAGCTGTCTTAACATCCATCTGATAAAACTCCAAATTATAATGTGCTACAAGTTCTATGATAATTCGAAAAGAATTTTTAGATGAAACAGATGAGAGAGTTTCATTATAACAATGCCCTTTTGTTGAGTGAACCATTTTGCAACAAATCTTGAATTCTTTCATTCGACATTCCCTTTTGAGTCCATTTTGTTTTTTGTTTTTTTTTTTTTTTTTGAAACCCACTTGTTGTCTATGGCGTTAGAATCTAGAGGAAGTTTAACAAGTTTTCAAACTCTATTTTGTTCTGTAGAATGCATTTCATTTTTCCATATCATTTATCCAGTTATTTGACTCAACTTTATTAAAAGTAGCAGAATCAACAATATGCTCAATAGCAAAATCATCCTCCAATAAATATGTAATGTATAACAGGAATCGGCACCGCAACTTGATTCGGTTCAACAAAAAGTTCTTTCAATGTAGAACTCTCACTATTACCAAAATCAATCTCTTGAAATTTAGCAGTAATGGACTCAACAATTCTGGTGTACAATTTAGACAATAGAATTTATATCCTTTTGATCTATCTAGGTACTCGACAAACAACTAGGAGTGGATTTTGGGTCTAATTTCTTTTCAAGAGGATTATAAATCTAAAAATGAGCCAAACTTAGCTTATATACTGTCCATAATTCAAAAGGTCTTTTTGAAATAGCTTTACTCGAAACTCAGTTCAAAATGTAGGTAGTGGCTTTTCAAAGCTTCGCCCTGTAGGTGCTCTCATAAATTTGCTCTATTTATCATGCTCCTGACCATGTCCTTTAGAGTCCTATTACGTCTTTCAATAATGTCATTCTACTCAAGTCTCCCTAGCATGTTATATTAAGGCACTATCCCACACCCTTATAAAATTTTTGCAAAATCACCTTTGTTTTTACCAAACTCATCATACTTCTCATAGTACTTACCATCACGGCTGGATTTTACGACTTTGATAGTTTTTTCTACATTATTTCTCTACTTCCATTTTAAAAATCTAGAATTTCTCAAGAACATGGGATTTATCATTGATCAGGTAAACATATTCATTGCGCGAAAAATCATCAATATAAACCAATTCTAGGATAACTTGAGGGTGATTGATCTACTGCAAAGAGATGTTGAGATAAATGTGGATTCCATGTGTGCTAAATATAATTTAGATTGTCTAAGGTCAAAAAAATAAAATCATGTGAAAATCTTAACTTAGGATCAACTTTCGAGAATGGATACTTAATAAGGGACATTGCACTAATCATGACAAAAAGAAAGAAGAAGAAGAAGAAGAAGAAGAAGAAGAAGAAGAAGAAGAAGAAGAAAGCTATATCATTGTGAAACGCCTCTTCGTAACCTTTATGACTCGAGTGATTAAATTTGCAATGATATCTAAAACCTATTGCCCTATAGTCATTTGATTAAGAGTCATTCGCAAAAAAACTCTCTACAAATGTCATTTAGAAAAGTTTAATGGAAAGAAGTCTATAAATAAGATTTGAAAAAAATTAACGTACTACATACTTTGTTTAAGTCACAAACACTTATTTAAGTGAATTGGGCCTTTGACAAGGATTATTAGTTGTTTGATTCTTTGAGGTTGAAGAAGTCAAAAATCAGGAAAATTCTCATTTATTGATATGTTGAACTATAATTAGTAAAATCTAATCAAACTAAAAAGGAAGAGGACTAATACATGAATTCAACTTAAATCATACTTTGGAAAGAGAGTCAAAAAGAGTAGTTTGAGGTGTGCATCTTACGAGAGAAGAAATGATAAATTAGACCATTGAGTATCAGGATTTGAATCACTATATGAATTTATGATACTTTACATAAATCTTCACACACATACATCAATTTTGCATCTGATAAAATAGAAATTAATTTTATCAATGTGATTTTAAAGCAATATATAATTTTAATACAGAAATTTCAATCCTGAGACCAAAGGCAAGTTATCTAGCCATATTTGTTTAAATTAAGTGTATTTTATATATACTTATCTGGGCTATTAAACTAGAATATTTGTTGTTGTTTTGGATGAATTGTAGCTTAATTATGTTTGTTAGGTAAAACTCAAGACAAATTTAGTGAAATAGAAGAAAAGGTCAAGAAATGGAGGAAATCTGAAATTCAAGGATCAAAGTGCAATAGCCAATACTTGCCTTGATTCGGATGATAAAATAATTATTGAAGATCGCATTGAATGCAATTAGAAATTAACTAAGTGGAATATAGTCAAAGTATTTTCATTAATCAATTTCCTACTACAAAGTTATGCTCCAGATTTTTAATCGGAGATTAATAGCCATTTTTGGTATAATAAACATTTGAATTGGAAAAAAAAAAAAACTATTTTCACAATAATCGTTACCCTTTAAGTTAGCTTTCCAACTCGTTTTAGATCAACTCAATCGAATATCAAGAGAGAAATTTATGACAAAATACTAACGACTTTGTAGAAACATAATCATTCGCGGCGCGAATACTACTTTTCTTATTTGATTACTCTTCAAAAAGAAAGTCAAATACATTAACTTTATCGTTGGTTAAGAATGTATGAACATGACTAATTTCAATAGATTACAATAGACGAATTATAAATTCAAAAAAATAATCCATAATTAGATACACACTTTTTTACTGATTTCTTAGGATAATTTAGAATAATCACGAATCAAAATCTCTTTTGTGTGACAAACTTCGAATTCCATATAAGATTAGTAAACTTGAATTAGAATTTTTTTCTCTGCAGAACAATACTCTTAACCCACTAAAATTATTACTTATCAATGATTTTGTGCGCTCGCGAAATTTTAACGAACAAGTACAATACATTACAAGGCTAGAACTGTTAGTGACAATCACCATCGAGAAAATCTGAGTTTCATATGGAGAAATATTATATTCAGTTTCGGCATCAGTCGGTTGATTATCGTTGATAACATAACACCATTCATTTTCTACGATTTCGATGAGTTTTCTTCGAGCTAAAAAATCTACCTTGGAAAACCTTGATCACTACCCTCGGGCAAACGATCAGTTAGAGGTACCCAGTTGGAAGATCCTATGGTATTTTAAGACCAGACTGGAGAAACATAAGGGTGCATGAACCGATGTGATTCCTAACATGTTATGGGCTTACCACACAAATGCAAGAGAACCAACCAGTGAGGTGCTGGTGCTGGTGCCATCTAAGATAAAGACGACCGGATACTTCACCAGAATGTTCGAGAAAAGAGGTTTCGGGAAGACGATTGGTTCTGAGGGACGCACTAGTTGAAAAATTAGATGCAATAGGAAGGGATCGTTCAGCGTCATCGGAGAAGTCAAAAAGGATCCTACAACTAGAGATACAATCTTTAGGCAAAATTACACATTAAAATACATTAAATTCCCAAGATTTGTAGTTTATTTTGGGATTTGAAGGTTGAATAACACGATTGACACTGAGATTTACATGTTTCGAAGAGGAGATTGATGATCCATTGTTGGAAATTGGATGCCAAAAATAATAATTGTTAGGATTCTTTTTTTTTTTTTTTTTTTTTTTTCCTTTTTTTTTTTTTTTTTTTATTCCTTGATATTTTTCATCTTTTAATTGTTTAATTTCAACATGTTTGGTTAAATTTTAGCTTGTGATCAGACTCTGTACGTATCCATGACAACCCCTTCTACAAAATTGCCGCATTATTGCTTGCGACAAACCAAGATATTTATTCTCGTGTTTTTTTCACCAGCTTTTGAATTTTTGTTAGAAGTCTCTGGCTGCTATATACTCTATTTTACCTCCAAAGAACATAATCCTCCTCTTCAATTCTTGCATATTTGGCTGATGTAGTTAAGAATTGAACCAGGATAAGCTCTTTAATTAGAACGTAACAATAATAGTTTTAGTCCCATTCACAAAATCTCTCTTTTAGATTGTTGAAAAGCAATCGAGATTCAAGAGGGGCGAAACGTAAACCGAAACACCAAATTAAAGTAGGACTGGAACAAGGAACAAGAACCAAGTATGAAGAAACCTTGAAACACCTATCTAATACATTGTCCTAGAAACAATATTTGCTCCCACTCGGTTAGATATTGCTTTCAGGTTTCACTCTGACGAGTATCGACCTATGTACAAAAGTGGAAACCTATATGTAATCATTGTTGAATCAATTCAGGAATGAGCTTAAGCAAAAATGCCAATTCCGTTTGTGAAAATCGAGGTTTTCCTTGTCCTGGAATTTGTTCCTCAGTTGGCTTCACCATACTAGAAACAAAATCTGTTATTTCTCGAACCAAATCCACAATCACTCCATCGATGCCCATTAAATGTTGCACATACACTGCTTCAGGCACATTGCTGAGATATATAAATGTAGCTAACTATCAGTATTCGAGATTTTAAATACTAATAATTATAGTAATTACAAGGATACAAATCAATAATTACTCACTTTAATTTTCCATATGTCAAGAGAGAGAGCTTCGATTCTTTGATCTTTTTCACCATCTCTGGATTTCTAAAGATCCCTCGGACTTCCGAAACAATTCCCTGCAAACCACCCTCTAAGCATAGCTTTATGGCCTCTTCCAATGAATTCCTTCTTATGTCATAGTAAATCTCATTTCCTCCATTTGTGAGGAAAAATACCTACCAGGATGAATAAGCTAGCTTTGGTAAGGATTGAAACTGTTTCAAAAACACACCAATAGCCATCATAAATAGACTAAGGTAAGAATATTAATGACCCCGTCAACCATATTGGATAGATTATGGATACATTAATGCTATTCATAATCAATGACTACAGCAGTCATTTTACGTGATAAATTATTACGTGGAATAGTTTTAATCATTTGAAAAGGAATAAATTTTAATAATGTTATGTCACATATGATGAATACTGAAATCAAATCGCTGACTATGAATAGGACTATTATCGTCACTCTAATCACATTTTACAATACAATTAATATCATAGAAGCATACTCACAGGGTAAGCGTTTTGAAGTTTCTTGACGAGCAGAGCAGCATCTGGTTGAAATGACGAAAAGATAACAGGTCTATCCTTTGCATTCTCAACGACGACTTGCAAAATCGATTGGAGTACATTGACTAGATATTCTTCTTGATACACTACATGATCATCAAACTTCAATTCG